ATATATAAATTTTTAAATTAGAAATATGCTTAAATTTGCAAGGTAAAAAAGAACTAGCCTAGGTTCAATTAATTTTAATATTTAGGATGTACAAATTTAGATTCATCTCCCTAAAGAGAAGTCATTAAACATAACAAAAATGTATTATTTGTAATCCCTATGAGTCCATGATAAGATTTGATATTTACCATATCATTTCAACATCTCTCAAATCAAACCTTCCATGATTAAATATCAACATTCTCTTAGCTTAAAGCATTTAAGCTTCATAATAGTATGTTTTAAATTTCTATTTCTGTTTATCAAAGACCAATAAACTTTTTTTCTCTTCACACAGGCAGAATTTACAGCCATGAGGGAGCAGTACATGCGAGGTGGAGAGGGCTTCATCATCTGTTACTCTGTCACTGACCGCCAATCATTCCAAGAGGCTGCTAAGTTTAAAGAGCTCATTTTCCAGGTCCGCCACACCTATGAGATTCCCTTGGTGCTGGTGGGTAACAAAATCGACCTGGAACAGTTCCGCCAGGTGAGTCCCAATTTCATCTGTCAGTTTCTGTCTTTCCTCTGAGGACACACGGTATCAAGTATGGTTGCTCTCCAAAGGTCACAAGGAGAATTTAAAAGAATTATGGGCATGATATCTCTAAGAAATCATACAGTCTTTTGGTAGAATGTATGCTTCCTCGCACAAAATCCATTTTACATGAGATTTTACAGTGTCCTTACCACTCCCCCTTATCCTTGGATAATTCTGTGATTTGTTTTGAGCAGTAGAATATAGATGTGATTCTGTATAATTTCAAGGTTGGCATTTAAGATTTCCCCAGGTTCTGTCTTTCTCACTTGAAACATTCACTTTTAAATTCTAGACACCCATGGAAAGAAACCTAAGCTACATGTGTGAAAAAGAGTCATGTAGACAAAGGAGACCCAGCCTTACAGCTTTTCCTGTCAAGTTATTACACGTGCAAAAGCCATTTTGCATATGCTAGCATAAGCCAATCCACATGGGGCAAAAAATTCTCTCAGCCCAGTCTTATCCAGATAACTGACCTATAGAATCAACAGAAAATGAAATGAATTGCTTTGCATACTACATTTTGGAGTAACTTTTCATGTAGCAATGGATAAAACATGATGTTCCCTGAGCATGATGGTGCATACCTGTACTCCCAGTACTTCAGAGACTGAGGCAAGATGCTACGAGTTTGAAGTTGGTCTTGGATTAGAAAGAATTCAAGGCCACCTTGAACTATATAGATATTATGAAACCTTCTTTAAATTGAAAGAAAATCCCTACCTTCTAACAGAATCAGACCATACATCTACTTCTCAGGTTGAATCAGAAATTAGTTATATACAATCTATATCTTTAGAGCTACTCTTACTCCACCAGTGTGTTCTTCCGATAACCCCTTGACTTCTCCAAATAAACAAAATTGATAAGGCACAATCTATCCACAATTTAGACTGGGATCACTACTGTAGCAGAATTTAACAAATTGATTATATTTTATTTTCATTTGGCCAGTCATTACTTCCTGGACAGCACAGGATGGGCAGATAATAATGATTCACTCCCTCAGAAGTCTACACTGTAATGATAGCTCAGCCATCCTGCTTCAGGGACCAGGCAATAATCATGATTCCATTGCTTTGAATGAAATAACATTATAAAAAACGTGCATGCAAAGAAAAGTTTTATAAACCTTATTCTCTAATTTGAGTTGCTTAGTTACAATTTGAGATAATTCATTTTTATTTTTATTGACCTTAAATTTGAACTGGCTTTTACTAGTTTACATTATTCCAGTTTATGATTAACTTCTAACCCCTTTAACATAGTCTGCTAATGAGACCCTTTGCTAAGGTAGGAATCTTTGAAGCAAATAGAATCTGTTCTATTTTACGTTTTATTAATCTGAGTTTTCACATTTAATACATTTTATGTTTTTCAATATTTATAATGTTATGCTTAGCAAAGGAATGTATTACTATGAATTGTTCTAATATATCTATGTGCTAAATTTTTATATATTTTACTTGGGAGCCTAGTCATCCTGAGATGTCAGGCATCTATTGTACAGGAGGTTGTATTTGCTATAATATCTGCTTGTTTCCTCTCCACCTGTTTTGCTGCATTGCTTTTGTTGTTTTCCTTCCATTGTTCTGTATGATATATTTGCCTTTCCATGGATTCGAAATTTAAGTACATTTCAATAGTTAAATATGAATCTATTCTCAGGCACTTTGCAGAAAGAAAGGAGAGAGGTATAGGCCTAGTCGCTTCACCTTTCAAATGCTCCTCTGAAATGGGAATGTTTTAAATAGGGCTTCTAGAAAGAAGCAGGAAGGAGCACTGTCACAAGTGAACCATTAGAGATTACGGAGTCACCTGCATTGCACTTCGGGAGAACAAAAATTCCTGATTGGTCTCCATTCAGGTCAGCTGTAAGTGACTGAGAAAGCTAGTGAATGCAAGGACATGAAGGAAACTATTTCAGTTTGGATTCTCTCTAGCATGGCTATTCTTTACGATTCCAAAAGCTGGTGACATTTGCATTTCCCACACTGAAAACTCTGCTTTCCTAGCCTCAACAGTAACCCTTGGGATCGCACAAAAGCATTATCCAGTGAGAGCTCTTTCCCACCTCAATAATTAGATGTTCCTTCTACAGAGAATCACAGGCATCACAACTGCCACTGGAACAAACATCCCGCCAAAAGATATTAAACTAAGTAATTTTTCAGATTTGATATTTATTTAGATAAAAACCAGCAAACTTTACAGTCACAGGAAGTGCAAACACCATGAAAACATAAATTACATCCTTTGTAAAAATACTTCAGTAATGAAGTGTTGATGCACAAATTTGGCTTCTGGCTCTGATGTTTGTGATGGAAATAATTATTTTTAAAATTGTGGAATAACTTTTTTTTTCTTGCAAAATGATTTCAATTCTCACTTTGCTTTCATGTTGTAACTGCCCTGTGTACTTGGAAGGCAAGTGTTTGAAGAGTAAGCATACTGGAGAAATAAATAAATTGGTAGAAATTGACTTTATGAAACTATTGCAGTTAGTAGGAAAATTGACTGAAGCACAGATCGTGTGTACTCTTTGTCACCGAAGTATTTGAAATGTTAAGATGGTTTCTTTATAGAAAGAAATAAACAAAAACAAAGATGCTGACATGGGCATGGTTTATAGCTGCAAGCGGCTCTATGAGGCTCTTTAGAATACTAAAGTTAAACTATTTGACTCCCTGAAGCAAATCGTGCTTGTGCCTTTTTTTAATGGTGAGACTTAGAGAATGAGTTTCTCATTGTGAGACTCTTCTTTCATTCACACTGAAAGGATGAAAGCAGAGTCCTAATGATTAAAACACTTTCCTTGCATATTTGATAGGATAGGTGCTTAGATTTCTAATGCATTTTAGTAACACTCATAGCCTTTCAACTAAATAATAGTCAGTGAATATGCAATATCAAATATCTTTGATATTTACATTTTATTTGGGAATATTCATTTTGATGATGATGAAACCAATGGTGTGCCTGAAAAGTTCTGCTCCAGCTACTTTATACATGTTATTTTATTTAATTCTTACCACAGACCAGGCTCCTCTCTAAGTATCTATTCACTTTTGAGTCAACTGAAGCTTCCATACATTCAGAAATTTGCTCAAATTCAATTTGTTACACTTGAGAGACAAAACCCTTATGTTTTGCTTCAAAATCTCACTTTTTTGATATAGGCTTTCCAACCTTTATTTTATCGTTTTGTTCAGGTTCGGGAATTAACTTCCTCCTCAAAGACTGCCACATAAGCAATTGTATTGTATTATCAATAGTTGCAGTGAAGGTCAGAATGATAATTTTGGGGTGCTGTGAAGAGGGCAATTCCAGACCCTGGACAAGCCAGGGGCAGCCAGAAGTTGGGAGACAGGTCATGAGAGAAAATTAGAGTGAGGAAATGAGATTCAAAACTTCTGAGAGGCACTAAGCTCGAATCAGCTGGATAATTTTCCCTACAGCACATCCAACAATACTAAAACCTTTCTTAACTCCTAGACAACATTAGATCCCTGAGCTTCTATTATATCTGTCCCTCTTTGTCATATCCTGTGCCATCATACTGGGTAGCAGAACAGGATGATTCCTGTTTTTGTAAGATTCTGACCAACTGCTCAGAGTAAAAATGGTTTATAAATGGAATGAGTTTCAAGAATTGGGGATTTATATTTCAAAAGGTTTAAAACCAGTCAAAAACTGCAAATTGTTTTATCTTGAGAACAGGCTGTGACGAACCCCTCAGTCCTGTAAGTCTTCTTATAGCTTAATATTTACCTTAGACCATGAATTTCTACTCCCTTAATCTAGTAACATGAGTTGGGATCATGAAAGATTCTTTATTATTTAGTGAGATACTTGATAGCAATGATTTTATCCCTTTACTGAAGGGCTATTTGGATCTGTGGAGATTAGGAATTGTTATATTTAAAAATCAATTTTGTTATGTGAAATATATACTTACTTTTCAAAATATGACAGCTTTGGAATACAGTAAAGTAGTAAGGACTCCAGTCCTTGTCCTCAAGGACTTTCTCCTCAAGAGCTATGCATGTGGGTGCTGTGGATATAGCTCAATGGTGCTGCACCTGCCTGACAAGCACAAGGTCCTGAGTTCAATCCTGGGTACTAAAAATTAAGTGCTAAATGCTATGACAGCATCGGTAAGTTCAGTAGCTGTTGATAACTATGAAGGATCCATCAGACAGAATATTTAATTGCAGACACCAATGGACAAGTATTCAGTCCAGGTAGAGAAGATCAGGTAAATGGTCACAGTAATTTCAGGAAGACCAGAAAGAGGACATCTATGAGGGGAAAAATACATCTTGGGCTTATAAGTGTGCACAGGCAGCAGAGTGTCTGATGAGGGGCTGGGAAGGTCAGCCTGCCTAGTAAATAGATAATAAGCATTCTCAGAATAATATCCAAGACAATGCCTGTCTTGAAGATACATTTCATAAGAGATAAACTTAAGTATGTGCCACAGAGTATTTGATATGCTGTGATGCAGTAATTAATTGCAAATACTTCTCAAACTTTAAAAACAAAAGAGTAGCACTTCATTATCTTTCATCATCAGTGTATTAGAGAATTAACATAAACACATTATCTAAATAATGATGATTTATATTCTGAGGGGAAAGAAAGGTTTGACAAGTTAGTCATTATTATCAGCATAGACACTCAAATTCAATTAACATTATTTAGTTCTAGTTATTCTTTCCTCATATATTTTTATAAGTTATTTTATTTATTAAGTAAATATGAATATATTAATTCCAACTGTGATGGAAAACAATATAAAACAAGTATATAGTTTCATGTGATGTATCTAAAGTGTGGTAGGATTTAGAAGTAAAGTTGAATTTATTTTTTTTCCTCATTGAGTTTATTGGTACATTTTAGGTATACAGTACAGTTACAATCATTATTGGGATCTTGTACCTTTATGT